TTCCCCTCTTCTGAAGGCTGCAGCTGGATCCTCACTGTTCTTCTGTCTGCAGCCAAAGGGTCCTGTCGTGTGGTCCCAGAGCCACCTGCAACTCTCACCCAGGAAATACAGATTCCAGGGCCCCACCCAGGTCTACCAAGTCAGAGACTCTGGGTGAGGCCTAGGAATGTGAAGTGTAGACTCACCTCCTCAACCCCCATCCCCTACTCCCTACCCAAGGTGTCCTGAGGCCCCCTAGAGTCTGAGCACTCTGTTCTGTGCACAGCACTAGGCTGCCTTGGTCTGCTCCCTGGCCCTGTGTGAATATTTAGCCTGGCACCACCAATGCCAAATCCACTGTGTCTTGCCTTTGAAGCTGAGAGAGGCCTCACCAACAGGAAAGAAATTAGCAAGAGACTAAGTAACTGCAGTTTTTACTGTGACATAACAGTTGTAGGGGGCCGGGAACATCCATATATGAGGCAGCCTGGGCTGATGAAAGACAGCCCAGGGTTCAGATCTTAAGTTTTCTGAGCCTCAGTTCTCTCATCTATAAAAGGGGGATACGAGCACCTGTCGGGGGAGGCTGTACAGTGTTGTGGTTCAGAGCACCGACCTTAGAATCTCTCTTCTTCCTCTTACTAACTGTGTGACCCTGGGTCATCCATGCTTTAATCCCTCTGCCTTAATTTCCTCATCTGGGAAATGGGAACTATAATAGGATAGGACCTGCCTCAGATGAAGAGAGAGAGAAAGAGAAAGAGAGAGAGAGAAGTTAGAACATTGTTTGACATACGGGAAGTCCTAGCAGTATTAGTATTATCTTAGGGGACCTTGGGGGATTAACTATGCCAACCTGTACCAAGCCCTCGGCAGGGTGCTAGCCTAGCCCCCGTAGTAACAGCAGTAAAATAGCAGCTCCTGGGCTCACACCATAACTCATGCATATTTAAACTGGGGATCATGACAGAGTCTCCCTCACAGGGTTGCCGCACAAATGAAACGAGATCAGGTATGTTAAGCACTGGCAACGTGCCCAGAACACCGCGGCTACTATCATCCTTGCTGCTGTTCCTGGCGTTTCCAGCAGAGAAAACCATGTCACAGAAATGCCAGCTGCTGATTGGTAGCTGGTGGCCATGTTGCCAGAGAGCAAAACATTTCTTTTCAAATGAGACAATCGTTTCTTGTACGTTTTGCATGCTCCCAGTCTCCGGGCTCAGTATGGCACAGAAATGCCCTTTAATGCGGTCCGTGGAAGCCGGGACTCGGAAGATGCCCGCCGGGAACTGGCACTGCTCTTTTCCAGTTTTAAGTTTTCAGACCAGGTTCCGGAAGCCCCTCTGGGTAAGTCATCCAGGCGGATCTGGTCTGTATTAAATCTGCAGCGGGGATGGGGGGCGGGTACTGACAGTAACTATGTGGTAACCAAGTCCTCCGTCTAATAAGGGCCTGCTGGGGAAACAGGGCCCATTACGTAACTTTAGCGGCAGTCCTGCTCTATTGTGTTTTCAGAGTAACAGTTTTGCTTTTTCATTACATTTTTGGCTGCATTTTTACTTCGAAGTCAAACTCTCGTTACAAAGTTACTTTGCATTCTCCTGTGGAAACCACCCGGAAAATGTAACTTTCTGGAAGCCCACTTCCATGGCAGAGGCCAGATGTCATTCCCTCACTTCCTCTGTGCTCCACGTGCCCCATCAAGCCCTTGGTGGGGTCGCCGAGAAGCAGAGGGTTTCACAGAAGGGCCCTCTGCCCATCGCTGCGATGGCTCTCATATCCCTCAGACCCCACGTTTTGGGAAAAGCATGCTGGGTCAGCCTCACCTCCACATCTGGGTGAGAAACCCACGGGGCTCAGAGTGCACGTGACTCACCCCACTCCACGAGTGGAAGAACCAGACCCGGCCCGTGCTGCTCCTGTCACTGTGTTGCACGTCTCTGGGTTGAGCCTGAAGTGAGGTGGAAGGGGCCAGCGGGTGAACATCCTGGGAAAAGCAAAGGATGTGACAGGGGGCATTCTTGGGAGAAGGCTGCCTGCAGATCTGAAACGGTAATAACCTCCATGTCCCGAAATGTTTGGGTTTTAACCTGTCGGTTTACCTAAATGTTTGAAATGTTCATCATGGTCTCTTCAAGATTTGAATCCAATCAAGCAAGAATAGGTGGTTTAGAGGTCGAGGAAAGGAAGGGCGGGAGCTGACCCCTGCTGGCCCTCGTTTAATCCTGGTGCTGCCTGCTGCCAACTGAGGGACAAGCTGGGAGTGTGATGGAGTTTAGGGAGCTGAGAAATCCTGGGAAGTGTGGCTTTATGGGGACCAGAGACCCAAGTGTGAACATCCAAGTGCGTGTGGTGGTTCTCCAAAGCCATCCTCTGTGGGAAGAACTCTCACTCTGGTGTGTTGCTGCGAGGACCAGCCTTCCTCTGGGGGCCTGCTCTCAGGGAGAGCCCACGACGTGTTTCCTTATGCGTCCAGGGTCATGTGACATCTTCATCCTTTTCGGGGGGTGACTGGACACAAGTAGGTATGACTCTGGGAAAGAAGGAGAGCGAACTGGCTGGGCACCACTCATCGGGGCCATCGGGGAGAGTGTTGGGGAGACGGTGAGCCTGACCTTTGGGCCTCAGGTGATAATGAACAAAGGGAACAATTCCAGAAGGGTCAGAGCCTAGACCACACCTGGGAGTAGGTGCACAGCCTCGTTGGGGTGTGGTGTTCTGCCCCTTTGTCTGACACGTATGTTGTGCCTTCTCAGTTGTCGGGGGCAGAGTGTGCTTTCCACGTACCCAGCACTTCTGGGCCCTGGAGACAGGATCCCGGGTTTGAATCCTGGCTCCACTATCTATTAGCTGAATAGCCTCGGCAAAGTTACTTCCCTTTTTGGACCTCAGTTTCCTCGTTTGTGAAATGGAGATAATGAGAGGCCCATTATAGCCCCATAATAACCACTTTCCTCAGAGGGCTCTTGTGAAGATGAAAGGAGACAAAGCACGGTGAAGCTCTTAGCCTGGGGCCTGACACACATCAAGTGCTCAACCAATGTCACTTCCTCTCCTAATTTTTTCCGAGTCCCTAACACACATATTAGGACCTCTCTCTGCTGCTCCGTCCACCCTGACCCCTAACTTCACCGTCTGTGATGTACTTAGATTCCCCCTTTCCGCTGTTCCTTTGTGGACAGTTTGGGGACAGGGCTGCTGTAAGAAGTCCTACAGCACGCCTGTCGTCCCACAGGCCTCGAGGCCGAAGGAGAGGGCCCCGGTGAGGCGCTGTGCTCCCCCGAGGACGTGGACAAGGCGGCCTGCGACCAGGCTGAGGCCGTGAGATGAAGCGCCAGTGCACTCATACCTGCTGCATGTAAGGAAACCTCCAGAACCGAAACGTCCTCTTTTGAGCACCAATACTTTTTGGTTTAGTTAGCGTTCATGAATAAAAATAACAGTATCCACTTTCCTGCCTTATGAAACAGTACGAATATGGAACATGTACATTTTTTTGGCCATCTCTGGGATTTTAGAAAATAAATGGACATCCGTCATTGATCTCTGCCGCGATACAGTGTCATCTCAGGGGATACCGAGTTACAGAGGACAGTGTTTCCCAGTAATAAATCTACGTTATGGATGAAACAATTTTAGAGCTTAACTTGGTAACAACGGACTTGAAAATAGTGCAACAAGATTGAATGTGACACTTCAGGGCTTACTGACATGAGGGCAGGTATAAATCAGCTTTAAATGTTCATGCTGCCCACCCAGGCCACAAGGGTAGTCCTGGAATATGCCAGATTCATCTCCACGAATCAGGGCATGTTCAGAAAGCGATGCTTGGGGGTTACACTTGGTACCAGGGTTCATCTAATTTTCTTGATGCCCCCTTCCCCCATTTCTTTGGTTTCTGATTTTGGCTAAAGCCTAATTTTAAAACCTGAGCACTCCTAGTGGCGGCGCCCCCTTTCACTATTGCCTGGTTTAGCTGTCCCTCCATGGGACACAGGAGGTTTTCAGTAACTAGCTTTACGCCTGTGAATAGTACCATGCCAGCTACGCTCTTACCGGTTTGCTCTTTGGTTTATTTGTAAATTCACTGAGCCCAGGCATACTCTTTCCTCTCTGAGGCAAATGGCAGAGATTTCCTTCTCATCTGCTGGTTTTCTCCAGGGGGCTTCGTGCTTATGACTTGAAGATTAAATGGGTAGTTAGCTCCCAGAAGACTGTCCTTTACGGATGCACTACTCTTTCTCCCAGCCTGTAGCATGAGGCCCTCCGTGCTGGCACCGGGGACAGGATGAGTCAGGCTGCAGAAGGCGGGGACACCGGGTGGCCTGTGACAGCGGGTGGGTGGCTGCACTTCCCATGACCTTGTGTCACCTCTAGATGGAAACATGCCTGCCCATTGTGCTCAGCGCATCAGCACAGGCCTCTGTGAGAAACACCCAGTGGAGCCCTCCCTGACAGAATCCGTCAGGAGAGTTGAATCTACTGTTCCAGGTCCCCAGGCACATAGTCCACCATGGGGCTGTGCTCTTCCCTTTGTGAGTGGCCTCGAGACGGGGACTCGGTTGGCCTGTGTTCACCTCAGAGCTGGCAATAGAGCCCGACGCCTGGTCTTCCACACCACAGGTGGTGTGGCTCTGAATGAGCTGCTTGGGGTACACCCAGCTGACAGCTATCTAGTCTCCCCAGAAGCTGGGAGGCCAAACTCCCATCACTGGAGAGATGAGAGGTGATAAATGGAGTGACCAAGGCCTCTGAAAGCAGGGGACAGAGAAGAGCAGGTGGGGGAACTGGCCCGTGTGTGCTGGTGTCTGTGATGACCTTTCAGCCTCCCCAGGAAGCGGCTGGGAGTGGCAGGGCTGGCACAGGGAAAGCAGGAGGGACGCTAGGTGATAGGGCTGGGGTGGGAGGTGTGATGACACGCTCCTTCCTTGTATTGCACGGTAGGGCACTTCTTTTCTCAGAGTCCAGAAGGTTCCTGGCGGAAGGAGTGGGGCTAGGGCAGAGGGGGAGGAAGAGAAGTGCTGTGTGGCCCAGAATGAACTGCTGGGGGTACACCCAGCTGGCAGCCATCTGGAGGAAGGCTGAAATGTCTGCTCACTGTCTGAGGATGGAACTCCTTGGCAGAGACCCTGGGCCTGCAGGATGGGTGCCATTTTAGGCGTTAAGGCTTCTCCTGGGTGTGATCGCCTGACAGGGTGGAGGGCAGGCCTAGCCCCACGAAGTGAAGGACACGGCTTGACTAGCTCAGGCCCTCCACTCAGCCAGGGCTGCAGGGAGAGAGGGAGGAAGGTGGCTCAGTGGGTCCCAATGTGGCCTTGGCGGGGGCTCCCTCCGCTTTCCCTGAGGCCAGGTCATGGAACAAAACTTCCCTTGTGCTGGGAACTGACACATACCTCCCTGTCCAGCAACCAGGGAAGGTCAGTGCAAAGGAGTAGGACTGGGAAAGCACCAGCCCCTATCCCAGGTGGCAAGGTGTCCGGAACCTCCCCGTCGGCTCTCCAGCAGGATCTGGGGTCAGTCCCCCCTTCCCAGGCCTCGCTTCCAAGTTTCCCTCGTGGCGGAGGAATCGCCTCACCATCTTCCCCCAACGCTCTAGGCCAGGCGCCCTTGGTTCTCTCTCCGGTTCTAGTGAGGCCAAGAGACAGGAGGTGCAGACGGGGAAGAGAAGGCGGCGCCCAGTAAATGGAGGGCGCCTGTGCAGACGGTCATTTGACAGGCTCTGGGCCTGAGTCCAGTGGGTGGTGGCAGGGGAGGAGTGGCAGAGGATGGAGTGGGGAGTCCTGGTGGCTGGAAGTGGCCGCCTGTAAAGACCAGGAAGAGGGGGCCGCAGACTGCTGCAGAGGCCCCTGGAAGCTGCAGTTACCCTAGGGCGCTGGCCCCGCCTCTGAAATGCAAAGTCACTTCCCAGCCTCTCATTCACCAAGAATCTCAGGTTCCGAAAGCCAGTACACGTCATCTTCTAATGTTTCCTAATGTTCTAGGTATTTGGAAAACAGACTCCTTTTTAGAAGTTGCCATGCTTTTTTCTTGGCTTTTATTAGCATGTGTTAAAATCATATTATCCAAACACTACCAGAAGAACATGTATTGTTCTGCATAAAGTGCTTAAGGAAAAAAATGCAACTTATTAAATTGGACATTCTTTTCTAGTTCATAAATTTTGGGTTACAATCAGGGCACAAAAGGAGAAACAGAATGCAGTATTAGAGAGAGCGAGAAGCTTAGTTAAGAACTTGGGTGGAAACACAAGACCACGTCCCATTCCTCCCACTTCCTTGCTGACTGAACACTGCACCTGCATAAAGCAGCAAACAGCTTTGTTTTAATAAATACATTTTCCTTCATTCAACTCAGAAAAGTTAATCATAGTAAAGCACTTTTTCTTTGACCATCTGTTTATAGCCACAGGCAAGATTTATCCACAGAGTTTAAGTGTGAAAGTGTCATTTCATTGGGCTTTCCACTTTCCAATGCTATCTGGGTTCAAGATTGTCTCAGCAATTCATTATTGGTTTATTTATATTTACCTGGTACTTTAAATACCAACTCTATAGTGTTTAGTGTTACAAATGCCAACCAAGGATATTTTCCCAGTACTAGAAATGTCAACGAGTGGGCCTAAGTAAGGCTTTTCCCCCAATACACTCCATTTTCTTTAAACTGGCTTCTGCACATTAGCACTCTGATGGTTGCACAAAACCCAAGTTCCTGTTGTGACAGATTTTTAAATCGGTAATGTTCTGAAAAAATAACAACTTGGAAATCTCTGTGTTTGAATCTTGGGTGGTCGTGTTGAGAACAGAAAAAAACGGCATTAAATACACTTCAAAAACATTCATTTGCAATCAAACATATTTAACTCTTCCAGGGAAGGAGCAGGTTGGTGATGGGGTGCCCCGTCAGGAGCGGCTGGTGGGCTGGGGAACCCATCGGGTGCACGCACTCAGGGCAAGCTTCTGGGCCGCAGACCTCGCTTCCTGGCCGCGATTCCTTTGAACTTCGCAGAGCAAAGGGAAAAGCGAGGCTGGTTGTACCTTCAAACAGTCAAGAGCAACCTCCTTGAGTTCACCTTGAAGCGGACCCAGAAGTTGGAGCATGTGCCAAGCTGAGGGCTGCCGAAGGGCTAAGCAGTAGTGGCTGGAAAAGGCGGTCATCTGTGGTCCTCCTGGGGAGACCCCCTTCCCTTCTCTCAAACGTCAGTGCTTTGGGCTTCATGCAGGAAAAAATCTTAGCCGCGTCGCTTACTAAAATTTCCATCTCATTTTACAAAAGCACACTGAATAGCAGTCCTGAGTGACAAGTATATAGAATTTGCTGAGTGTAGCCAAGAGAAAAACAGCTTTCTAAACTATCCTGTTCTTTGCTTCTTCCTACAGATGCGTCTGTAGGACGTTCTTTAGTTTCACAGTGATATATGCTGTTTCAGGAAGCACAAGGTGATCGGACTTTGTTTCCACGAAGTGATGACCTACTTTAGTTGGAGCTTAGGGTTCCATGACTGGTTCTAAATCCTGCCATATATTGCTATACCAGTGACAGGATTTAGGGCAGTTGGGAGGCTCTCGGTGCCCAGTTCCTGCCAAGCATAGCCCACCAGTCATGGCTGGGCTTTCACTATCAGTAGTTATACTTCCCTTTGATGTTTCAAAAAACCTATGGTGTATTTGTCGCCTCACTCCACTCCACCCTGTCCATCTGACTTGGAAGCCTGAGAGCTTTACTGAATTAGGCTGAAAAGAGGCTCTGTACCTGCTGATACTGACGGCAGTATAAGATGCTAGCTTACTATTTTGCACAGCACCATATATCGTGCCTGTTATTCAGGCCAACTATAGCCAACCTTTTCGTTTTGTTTTTTTCTTTTTTTGTTTTTTATAAAGAAAATCTATGTAAGTTGAGGTTCAGAAATGCATATATTTTTTACTTACAAATATTCATCTGACCAAAATCCAACATAACCTTTATGGAACACTTAACAATCGTTTTGTTTTTAAAATAACATTTCATTCAAACTGTATATAATTCAGTAAAGATTTTTATACAGCAAGCAATGCTTAAACCCTGGAAAATCTGTAGAAAAGAGATTTTCACACAAAATAAGAAAAGAAAACTTTGAGGTATCCCTCACACACACACGTCCATTCATCCTGACCCACGTGCACGCACGCGCACACACACGCACACACACACGCACACACAGCCATTCTCACTCACAAAGTGGCTGCAGCATAGGCAAAAAATTGTAGGTCCAAAGGAAAATAATTGATTGTTCTAATAAAGAGTCCAGGTAGCTCAGAAAGAAACAAAACAAAACACAATAGTCCTCTGAGGAAATTACTACCTCAAAAAAATGTTCTCAAGGTGAATTTGAGATCTAAGCCTACCAAATTGCTTTTGCAAAACAGCTCCCTGCAGTCCAAGGTGACTTGTGCAAATAGAAGGAATCAAA